CACTAAGGGGCTTATCCTTCCTTATTAGAACCCATACTTGTTCGCTTGCGATTAGAATGGATCGTTAGACCGAAGACTTATTTTCATTGTTAGACACGATCATGTGTTTTTCATGCTTTCAGCCAAGTAATAGTAATGTTACGCGGCGAATGTGAATCATAAGTTTATTTTGATTTACAAAACGTTATAGAAGGGTGTCTTCGAAAAAACCCATTTGCCAGAGATTTCAGCTCTTGAATGATTATTAGCACTTCTTATACTCTATGAAAAAGTATTTGTCCAGCGAAAAAGGTAATTTCTTCATTTGTCGCCGTTTAACGGAGAATAACTAAAGTTTTCTCATCGATAACACACTGTTCCTGCTTCAAAGTTTTGTTACAGGAGATCGTATTCCGCTATTGATTTTATATCTCTTATTATCTTCATCCCAACACTCCGTAGCCATTTGCTTCCTTTATAGCCAGAGCTGAGGAAAAACAGTATTGAATTAACAACGGAAACAAATTTTATGAGCGACTTTCTTTTCGTAATTGCATTTTGAGACATTTCGCTCTGCGAGTTTTTTTTTTTTATTAGAGCGCGATATATTTGTTAACGTGTTTCAGTCCATTTTCCATGGGATCTGGAAAAAGGCGCGCTGAACTGGTTTTATGAAACAATCGTTTTATTTCTCTGTTCATGAAAATTGAATTTCAAATCTCAAAATGCTCTGGACGAGAACCACAATTTGCTACTTTTTTGTCAGCCATTTGTCGCAGGGCCCATGCGAAACATCTTTGCGTCTAAGTTGAGTTGCCCCTAATAATTCAGTAACTTTTGAGCTATGAATACTTGAGTATTTGAGTTTTGAACACAGATCCTCTCTTGATGCTTTCTAAGCTTCTTAATCCTTTTCTAGGAAAGGTTGTAAATCCAAATTCATCACATTGTACTTATCGATTTGATACACTATATACTATGACTATTCAACACTTATATGATTGCTAGTTTATTGCAGTTATAAAGCTACAATGCGGTATCCACAAAAAAAGCAGTTTTAGGTACATTATAGTTCAGTTGACAGTTGCAAATGCAGAGAAACAGTGCAATCCAAGTGGACCCCATGCCAGCATTCGAATTGCTCTGTTCACTACACTTTGCCACATCGCTTGCGACCAGTTTTGCCATGATGATGTTTGTGGTCTGCATGATTTTTTTTTCTTACGGATTAAGTGCAAAAAAACAAAGCAAGTCTAATCGAGAGAGTTCCTGATATTGTTAAGTGATCGCTGGGGACGCTTGTTCCTGCCACCTTGCCCGGATCTGTTGCAGTGCACTTCGCATCGGCTGGAGCATTACTAGTAGTACAAATTCCCGTCACCGTGTTGCCGACGACTATGCAGAATTTCTTAACAGCTTCATTTTGTGCAAACAACTATGAGTCTCAAAAGGCACATTTCTTTGTTCAGTATAAAACTGAAACCTGAAAACAAATTCATACACCGACTTCCTTCCATTCTTCAAAACCCTTCCAACCACTACCTGTTGCATTAAATACTATGTCTTTTTTGGGTGGGGTATTGAAAACCCGTTAGAAAAAAACCTCAATTCAAAGGATTTGAATCCAATGCAACTTATACTTAGTATTCCCTGGACTCTAGGACATTAGAATTTGTTTATGTCCCTTCGCTTGAGGAAGAATGAACATTTCTACTGTCTAAGCTTGTCATACCCTTTCTGCGTGCCATCATTCGAATACTTGTTTATTATTAAAGACCCACGCATCTCCTCTGAGCTAGTAACCATCTGGCATTTCAATGGTTTGTAGCTGGTCTTGACACTAAGTTGACGCAAAATAGTTGCGATTACAGCATCGGGTAGCAGTGAATTACGACGTTGACCTACAAGTACGTCAAGATCTGAACGACGATTTTTTCACTTTTTGGTAGAATTAATTTGAAGAGTCTTCAGTCGATTAATGTGAAGCTAAGTGAGTCATGTTAGTAGTAAAAGGATGACGAAATGTCACAATAGTGGGGCTAACCACGCTTTCAAAGTTCGCGATGGAATCTTGAAATTTAAAAGTTGTCAACTTACTATTTGCATCGCAAGACGTTCTACAGACGACTTAGCTCCGGGCTCACTGGTTGCAATGCCAGGCACTCTCGTAACAACATTGGGCTCTTCCGTGTAAGCCATGGCTTGTAGCCAAAGTGAAACCGGTGACGGTAAAAGTAACAGTCCTAGCTGCAATATAATTTTGTCGTTCTTCTAGTATAATTAAAAGTGGATGTACTATGTTTAGTGATTTTGAGGCTTATTTTTTAGACGAAATTAAAAATTCCCCATCAAAAGACTTGTATTGAAATAACATTTGCGTAGTGATAAGAATTTGATACATTCATTTTGATTAACATTCATAAACTACAATCTAAGATCAAGGACCCACGTAGTAATATAACAGTCTCTTATTTATTACCTTGACCTGCAGGCATCACTCCACATCCAAATACTGTCCGGATTGTGGCTAGCAGAAAAACCATTGTGGAACCCATCGAATATTGTACCACATTTGCAAAAATTTTCAATTTAGTGTCCGAAGAATCTAAACAAACAATACAAACTCATGCCTTTACATTCGTCTGTTATTATGGAACCATTCAAAACAATACATATCTGATAATATATTTTGAGCTTATCATTAGGTCTGTTATGGCATTTATACAATTTCTTGCCATTGTTGCTTGTCAGAAACACGGTCTCTTTCGGTTCAGCCATTTCCTTCCAGGAAATTACATTGCATAAATGCCATAACAGACTCATGATAGGCTCATGATACAATACGAACTAATTATTTTTGCAGCATGTCTGATAACAGATTCTGATCGTTACGAGCGCAGGGGAATTGGCTATTGAAATGAAGTACATGGCAAGTACCGAATTACAATAAGATTTGTGAACAAGACCAGTCGGGTAGGGATTTAGTGAATGCGTCGATTCGTCAGGTGCCAAGGCTTATATCTGGTTCCGCCTCATTGGTGATGCTGCCACATTTTTTGTGACCTCCCCAAAACTAAATAATTCGCAGCAACCCAGCGCTGACGTTTGAAACGTTTTTCACAATGGTTTCAGAATTTCGAAGCTGCATTTGATCACATATCTCTTATCAACCTTCTAATTTAGCACTCTTGTTGAACCCATCTCATGACGGCGAGGTCGACTGATGGCTATAGAGGAGCTTCGGTGTTTTTTAGTAAAATACACGAACAGGCGAAAAATGAAACTGGTTTAACATTTCACCAATGCAACGAGAAAATAAGAAACCACATCAGGATTATCCATTGTGAAGCAACCGCACTTACGTTTCAGGTTGTGTTGTGAGGCACATGATTGCAACATGATGGAATTGCCGACCTATCAAGAAGAAAAAGCAAAGTGGATGTTCTAAAAACAGGACTAACGTGACACTGAGCTAAACACTTCTTTGCTTACATTCTCAGACTTCTAAGTTTCACATGAAGGTGGGAAGTTCATGTAGCACCGTCAGTTTGAAGAAGTTTTTCATGATGTACAGACAAAAGAAAGTTTGCTATTGTGTTTGTTGTTCGATATTGCTTTTCAATAGTTCGTATAATAAAGCTTCATTGCATTAGTGTGAAGGTTACAAACTCTTCTGCAGTTTCTCTCTTTCTTGTAAATGTTTTAGGAAGATCTTAAGAGAAGTTTTATTCAGAAATATCGATTGAAAAGAATTATTGACAACTTGTGCAGTGATAAGTCTTTTTTTATTGATCCAAATTTAAACCCAAAACAAGGCTTCAAAGCACTATTGATAAATTCTTAAGTGGAATATGTACAGAGCTGCTTAATACGATTCCAATTTTGCCAATGTATAATAGCAAAACTCGTTCTTCACTTCATGAATTGATGTGCACTATGCGATAGCTTGAACAGCTATCATATAAGCACCCTTTACTGAAGAAGCATCTCAAACGAATTGAGAATTGAACACTTCCTTTATTCCGTAAGTCTCAGCCCATTTGTAAACAATGCAATATGTGACCCGAGAATTCACTTATACTGAATAAATTGACTAAATTTATCCCACTAGGAAAAGATGAATTTTACTTACCCCTTTCAAATGATCATTCGAAAGAACCCTCAGTGCTACACAGTCAAAAGCCTTTTATGATTTTTTTTGAAGGATCATAGAAGCTGAACAAGCATTTCAGCTTTTCAGTCGTCGAATGCCGTTTATTTGAATTGCTGAGCAACGAACAGTTTCGCCACAGTAATCTTCTCGTGCTTTCATTACGATACTGAACTACGTCACAGAATTTCAATCACTGCTTTTGTAAGGCCGTATCCTCGAAGATCACGTGAACGAAGCTGTCTCACTGCGCTAATTCGTGCGGATTACTGTATAGTATTCAGTTGGCAGTCTTTATCACAAAAACATCGTTGTAATAGCTTCAAAAATTCATTTCTTAACTAAGTTTCTTTTTACATGCGGACATTAATAATAAACGGAACTATGTGAATCGAAAGAATTAACCACTCCTTCTGATGAGACAGTCTATGAAATTGATAAATGAAATTGTGGCCACTGATGTTTTCCAGTTTGTCAGATAATAAATGTTCTAGATATAGTCAGTGTTATAAGGTGGCGTGCAAAACTTCAGCGCCAGGCAGGACTACAACCCGGCACCTCATACTTTCCAGGAGCGCGTGCTCTATCCGTTACACTACTGGCGCCCATTTTACACATCGCTCTTTCTACGCTACTGCGCATCTTTGTGTCAGCTGCCAGCCGTCTACGGCCTGGTCCGGGTAGTCGGTCTCGACATTAGACCCAGCTACGCTGTTAAATATTGGGTATTATAGATTAAATGATATTCTTTTATTTAACCGCTTATAGCGGTGGATGATATAGATATTACCCAGTGTTATAGAGTAGCGCCAGGCGGTTCTAGGCTGACAGATAGATGCGAAGCAAAGTAGAAAGAGCGATGTCAAAATGGGCGTCAGTAGTGTAACGGATTGACCACGCGCTTCCGAAAAAAGTGAGGTGCGGGTTCTAGTCCTGCCTGGCGCTGAAGTATTGCACACCACTCTATAACACTGGGTACATCTATACCCCAAAAAGTGGGTAAATAAAAACAGTTTCATTTGGTCTTCAATAAATGCTTCCTCAGCTATAGAGGTGTGTGACTACTTACTCTGTTTATCTGGTTGGAGGAAAAGAAGCTAATATGCATAAATTTACCGGTGAACCAGGAGTCATGAATATGTAGATTTTCTGAGAACGATGGTCTAAAGCAAACACCGTTGCTGTTGTCGTAAATGCTGGCTAATGCTAATACTACTACTATAGGATTGACTGCTGAAGGGGTAGCAAATATTCCCGTCCGGAATGGCCCAAGGACCGTCCTACAACCTGTGCCAAGTCGCTTCGTATAAGTTAGTGTCGTGCATGAAAGGCGGAGCTAAGGCGCTGCTTACTGTGCCTCACCTTTCTCGATTGGCCTCGATACGATGTACTGAGGAGAACAACAGCTACTGACCCTCAAATCGAAACGTCGTAACCTTGACCAAGGCAAAACTGCCCTGAAATTTGCCACGTTAAAAATCATAGCAAACTTGTGTAGCCTGTCAATAGAAAAAGGTGTTGATTATCCATACTGACGCTTCATAAAAGACGGATATGAAGGATGTTTCCTATTAAACACAGAAAATGATGTGTGGAAATTACGGTGCCCGTAGTACGGTAATTATGGCCCTTCAATACCAATTTTGAGTCTCTTACGCCTTTCTAGAGCCTTTTTTCTTCGCTGTGTGTATCAAACTATATAGTGAAAGAAATTAGTTTTCGAATTCATTAGTGAAAACTGATTGCTAGAGAAGTTCTGGATTTATTATGACCCTGTGATTTTGCGGTGCTTGTGGTGACCATGGTCTAGTCTTCTCAAATGCTCAAGATGGTGTTCGCTTACTTAAAAATGACTTTTCATTGGTACTGCAACATCTTCAATACGGAGTGTATGAGTGTAAATTACACCATATTTCAGAGCATGTCATTCTCTACATCCATTATCACGGACTGCACTAATAAGAAATTAACTTCTAAGGAACCTTCTGATCTCTAGGATGGCATTACCAGTCATGGAAAGCTACGATTCTCTCAAATCAAATATCATGAAGAGAATTCCTCTATTTGGAAAGTAAAGTGATATGTTTTTAGCTCATGAATTGCGAATTGAAAGCACAGCTAGCAATGTTCAATCATTGGTTGAGTCTATAATGAACAGTTTGCATAGCTGAATAGGCATCCCGTCCCTTTCAACCGAATTGCTGAGCGGCGAACAGTTTTTGTCACAACATTCTACTTGCGCTTGATGCGATACTGTGGTTAGTCAGAGAATTTATGACGATGGATAAAATTCACCTCTGTTGCCGCCTTATTGTCAAAGTAAGCAATGATTTCCAAACAGTTCCTATTCCAGGAGCAGGAACAACATCACGCCCATCCTACTAATGAAAGTAGATATGCCTCTTGATTGAATGCGTAATTTTAAATTCACTATCATTTGACTTTAAAGTCTCTATTCAGTATTCCTGAGATTTTAAAATTAGGACGAGATTACTATGAGAATATGTTTGGCCAGCAGATTAGCACCTTTATTATTTTAAGCGCCACTAAGGTGCTCACAATCATTTTTCGCTGTTGTGTAGGTGTCCATAGACGCGTCGTATCAGTACTGCAGTAAAGCACTTCTCGAACGATCTGTCTTCACTTACAAGTGTACATTTGTTTACGAGGATTCTAAGGTATACTTTTTGCATAGTTTATTTGCATAAGAACAATTTTTTTCTAGATAAAACTGACTGAGTGCATCAGAGTTTAGTAGAATTCAACTTTTCTAAGCGATGATCTTGCGTCTGTCAACTGATTAGTACTCTTTCTATTAACCTTAATGGCAACAAATCACATTTGTAAATCTCTAAGACTTGTCCTTGTTAGCAGACGAAGTTATTACAGCCTTAGTAGTAACACTTTGATGATGAACTCTTCTGTCACTTTGTCTCTTCAGAGCTTCAGAGTACACTTTCAAGTTCTGTCTCGAGATTTGAAATAGTTTGCATGGGGGAGTTGTGCTAAATGACGGTAATCCATTCCTAAACAGTGTTCCACTGTGTTCGAATCGAGCTCATTTGACGACGCCAAAAATCTACAATTTAAGAGGAAATGATTACCATAAACACTCAACGAAAAGTTTTAAGAAGGCGTTTCCACTAAGAAGTTCAAAAATAAGTCTGCAAACCTATGTAAACTTATGAATAAAGCAATACATTTACAATCCATGCCGAGGTAATAAAAATTGGATATGAAGAAAGTACTGTTTTGAAAAAAAGCTTATGTCACGTCAAGTGTCACATTAGCAGTAGGAGCAGGCTTCGAAGGATTTATGGTCATCAATTTGTGGAGTAGTTCTCTAGAAAAAATTGCATTCCTGATCCTGACCTTTCATTTCTTTCACTCCTTATATTTGATCTTCATTTTTCAACGCAGTTATCATCAACACACGCAGTCTGTGTCATTCAACAACAAATGACCTCAAAAATTTTTGAAGCAATCATATACCCTTATGGTATGAACGTCCTAGCTAAACTACCCAATCCCTATCTGATTTTCTAGATGAAGGCAGTGTACAATCTCCAGACGATCAGAAAGACTCGTTGATGCACACACTTTTTCCCGATCTATATGCAGTCTTGCAATTCCTATTTGTGAGTTCTAGCAGCAGGCTCATCTGGAACAGCTTGCCTCCTTCATCGCTAATGTATAAACGAATTTGAAAATATGTCGAAAGCTCCACATTGTGGACATTACGAATAGGAGAGATTGATGGGTGAACGATGACTGGATTATTCTCTCCCACGAAAGGAACAGATCGCTGAGTTGCTTTATGTGAGATGTCGCCTGTTGTTTGCCTCTGATAATACTCTTATGGCGCAATGGATTCATTTCGGTTAACCGGCGGGGATTGGAGAAACGATCTCTTTCGCTGGGCAAGAACTTCCTTTAAGAGTGTTGGCATCCATTCGAAATTCTCAAATGTGTAAAGACTGCGCTACATGCTTCTTTTAAATAAGACCTTTTCATAATGCTGTAGCATGTAGAATAAAATTATGTTCTGCACCGACCATGTGCACATAGCCCCTCCTGTCCTCCTTCCCACCCATAGATCAATCAATAAACAATGCCCGCCTATGTAATCTCAATCCCTTACCACGCTGCAGTGAATAATATATCAGAGATTTAGCACAGAATTACGCCAAAACCTATGTTATCGGATGGATACTCGTAATTCGCGTACCAATTATGGTCTGCGAGGAAACATGCGTGAGAAATATGAATGTTTTCCTTTATAACAGCTTCAAAAAAGGCTTTGTCACAAAACGACTGCAAAGTGCAGTAGCTAGAGATCGAAGTTTTTGAATGTTTACTCAGTGTGCGGTGGAATGTTTTTTGTGAGTAGAAGACGTCGTTTTTCCATTTTTCCTCGACAGAGCAGAACCGCCTGTCATTTCTCTCCGACGATGCCCTTAATATAAAATGAGTTTATTTCGGTTGTTCAGCAGGGAATGTAGAAACAATCCTTTCTGCTGGACAAGAACTTTTCTTAAGAGTTCGCAGGTATGTGAATGAGTCCCGCAATACTGGCCTCTGGTTGACGAGCCATCTCAGCATTCCCCACATTGATTAGTCATTACAAGTCAACTGCTTTCAACTGTTTTTGATGCTCATAGATTTCACTTAATCATGAGCATTCTTTCTGGCCTCCTGAACAATGATCTATATTTCATAGTGAGTTTGTCAATCTTTGAAAACGATAAATTATTTTCAAGAAATCTTTTTTTCTATGAAAAGCACACGGACATGTAGAAAAATTCTGGAACGTCGGAAAGATCTCTGATTTTCATCAAAAAATCCTCATGTGATTTATGTAGCGGATTGGCGTTACAGCTGTACACACACCCTAGCCGACTAGAAGTGCTCACTGAGTGTGACCCAATATTCTTTCGGTCGTTACAAAACTCGAAGAAGTCCTTTCCGGAAGCCAAATTTATCATTATTATTGTAGAAATTTTTTCCATCTGACGACTAAAAGTTCGTTACAAGAAAGCTTTTATCCAATGAGAATTCTTCGAATGAAAAGCAAAATTTCATTTTGGCTGCTACGGCGCCAAAAATAAGCTATTTGAAAATCAAACATGCTATTGTAATTTATTTGATTTTAGCTATCGATTAACTACAGAAACCTTTTGCAGATGGCCTCAAGTGGCGTCACCATAATAGAACAGTACCACTTGTTCCAGTGCTACTGCACTCTGTTACTTATATTATTTTCTTTTCATTATATTGATATGTATGTTTGTGTTATTCATTGCTATTTTCACACAGTTCATGCCCTTGTCTTCATGATCTTTCGTCCTCTAGTTACATTATAGATTGAGGAAGAGAATGATATCAGCGTTTTTCCAAGGTTCAGCAGAGAGTGTTCTTCTGATACCTTGCTCTTCGCAAACTTTTCAACTGCTCTGAAAAAGTTCTTAAACCGAACCTCTTCACATTGTCGACTCACATGTAATTTTTTGCACTACTCTTACCAATCGATACTCATATGATATGTCTTATGATATATTTTATTGCTGCTCCATCCATTGCTAATATATAAATATCGAACTTTTATAAATGTCTGACTCGAAACATATCATAGCCCAACTTCAGTTACCACCAACAGTCGCTCTTGCCGAAAGAAAGGGAGATCCAAACGGCCCTGATGCCAACACTCGAACAGCTCTATCCACTACACTTTGCCACATCGCTTTGGACCAAATTGCCATGATGATATTGTGGTCTACAAAAAATGTTTTGAAAAACAAAGTTCTACAAAAAAGAAAACATTCTAAACGAGAATGTTCCTGAAATCGTCAGGTGTGTGCCGTTAATAGTCGTTATTTGCACCATATCACCCATTGGCATATTACACTTTTTATTCTCATTCATCTTTACAGTGCAAATTCCTGTCA